GGAGGAAGGAAGAGGAGGAGGAGGAGAGTAGGGGGAGGAGGAGGAGGGGGGGGAGCGGGAGGAAGGAAGGCATGGCGGCGGGGGGGAGGAGCAGAACCACGCGGCAGCAGGGGCTGCAATGGTGGCCGCACCGCTGCTGCTCGTGGCGCAGCTGACGCCTTGCGTCTCCAGGAACCGCCTGATGGAGGGAGAAGGGGGGATGCGAATGGGGGGAGACCAATGGGGGGGTGAGAATCGTGAGACGAGAGTGAGGAGAAAGGGGAAGCTGGAATGGGTGCGGGGAAGCAGAGGGCCGTGCATCGAATCAGATCAGATCCAGCAGTTTCCTGGTCGGACGGGCTCCAGAATCCAGAGATCTGCAGCGCTCTCACGCCCATGCTTCATGGAACGGAAAGGGTAGTAAAGGAGTGGCGAGTCACCTTTTAAGGAGGATGAAGCGGTTGCAACAGGCCTTGTTGTCGCGGTGCGGCGGCAGCAGTCCCGAGGCGCGCAGCTTGCTCCAGTTGCGCGTGCCGTGCACGCACACGTGCTGCAGCAGCACCTCGTCCTCCTGCGCCACGTCAGCAGGGGGCGTGGGGCATTCAGGAGAAGGGGGAGGGTGAGGGGTCCGCATTGGGAACGGTAGGGGAGGTTGCGGACAAGTGGAGTGGGAGGAAGGAGGGAAGAGGGAGGACGAGGAGGAAGATCGTGAGGATGGGGGAAGGAGATTTGAGAGTCAAAAAGGGTGACGCGATGCGAGGGGGTGCAGGGAAGAGGTTGGGCGAGTAGGGCGTGGCGGAGCGGAGCGTACCTCGGGCGTCCACCAGCGGGTGCTGTGCGCCATGCGCATGCCCTTCCAGGCCGTGCTCTTTCCCGCCACTGGCGCAAAGGCCGCCGCCTCCGCATCGCACGGCGCCCATTCCGCGTCCAATGCGGGCGCATCATTCCGAGCTTGAATGTCTGTGATGTCCCACGGCGCCCCCTCCGCATCCCACGGCATTCCATGGCCGTTGATCCCAGTATTTTCCGCGCTGCCGTGAATCAGAGTTGATCCGCATTCGACCGCCGATGTCTTGGCGTGGCAGTCACCATAGACAACCGTTCCGCCGGGACAATCGTGGAATTGCCGCGATCGCTTCCGCGGTGCGGCTGGCAAACCCGCCAAGGGGCTCATGTTGGCGGTTAATCTCTCCGTATACGCGCCTCTAGAGCGATAGTCTGTGCGTGTAATACGCGTGGTGAAGAATGCGACGCGTCAATATGGCTCTCCCGCGAGCAACTTTGAAGTTGTTGATTGCTTGAGGGAGGAATTCGCGCTAGGAATCTGGCGCTCGCTTTCGAAGATTTGTGATCCTTCCAACTGCATGTTCTCACTTGATTGAAGGATTTCGCATGCAACGGGACTGACTCTTGAGCTGAGCGATTGTGGAGTTGGGGGTACACCTGTCCAGCTGGCGCGATCGCCGCCCTCGATTTCCGATCCGAGGTGCATCGAGCGGCCGGCCGGAGGGGAAGGAATCGGCGAGCTTTGCCACGCTGGGGGGGGGGGAGACCGTCGAATGTGGAAATGCGTGGCGCACAGATGTGTGGGCATCAGCGGTTCGACACGAATGGACGCATCTCGAAGGCGTAAGGAATCCCACGGGATCCACACACAGCCTAAACTGTCGCGTTTGACAGCACGGATTGGGAGGTATGTGACGTGGACACGTGCGATAATCGTGCCATCATTGGAATGGAGTGTGGTATTCCTTCTGTGGCAACTCGGGCAGACCACACTGAAACTGTTTTTTAAGGGAGGTATGTGTAAGGGCTTCAAATAACCTGCACTATCCCATTTATACACTTCCAATCGAGGCATTGATATTCTAAATTTTCCAAGAGCACAATCTCAAGGTTTATGGCTGCGAAAGCCTACTCTAGTGCAACCGACAGCTGGACAAGTTATTGACCAGGATTGGCGAGTTGCGTGTGGCAGGTGTAGACCAATCGGCTGTCTTGAACCTGTATAACCTGCACCGATTGGTCATCACACTGCTGCCCTCGAACGTGACGAATAGAACGGGTGAAGCTTCGTAGAAAGTCTGGTCCTCTCTTGGTGTAGCTCGTAGCTAACAGGGTACTTACCTTTGATTTCGATAAGTTACGAGTTATTTTCGGTTGATCCTGTTTGTTTGCAGAGCAAAAGCTCCTGATTCCTTCCACGTTACCGTTTCCCGTTCATGTGATCCCTTCCCTTGACATTACGGGTACCTTACTTTGATTCCGGACGAAGTGCACTTGTGGAGGGGAATCTGTCCTGTGTGCTTGATTCTGGACGAAGTGCACTTACACCTTCCCAAGCCTCCCCGCCTTCTCCACACCTCCCGGCACGCCCTCCACTAAGCAAATAGAGAAGTTTCTCTCCCTGTTAATTGTTTCGTTGTTGGCAGTAGTTTTCCCACTCTCCCCACCTCCTGAGGCACAGTATGAGCAAGAAACATTCCCCGAGGATTCCAAGGCTCTCACGAGGGCAAGAAGTGTTCACAGTAGCCCAACGTCGAATTAATTTCCGACGTCGGTTATTTATTTGCCCGTGAAAAAAATGCTGTCGGCGGAAGTTCGACGAGCCTATTTTCAGCAACCCTCCAACAGGGCTTATGCTAGGCCCTAGGGAGTTTCGGAGGGTCCCGAGATGGGGTCCAGAAGTACCCAGAATTTTCCGGATCTCAAGGAAATTTCACCCAGAATCCTTCCGAGTTCTCGACATAGCAATCCTGCCAAAGGTCGTGTCAGTCATCTCCCCTGATGTGTGCAGAAAACATCACTAGGCTGATTGGCTGAAGTCCTGAAATCGTCCAAGTACCTTTTGTTATTCGTGACGTGAGAATCTTCGCCACCACGCAGTGGAATGGAAGTTCTCCTCACAGAGCTCCATGCTATGAGACTAGTTCGTCGGGATTCATGAGAATAGTACACGGAACTGATCAGGATTTCAAGGAGAAACCAGTCGGAAACATTCAGAGTTTCGGAAAGTCCCAACCTGTTAGAATCCGAATTCGGGGCTTGAACAACTCTTAATTTCTCGACGTTTACGGTAGCTACCCTTACAGCGTAAGCCCTGCCCTCCAAAGGGAAGTTTTCGCCAATGGGTAGTCTAGTCAGCCTTTCTCCCGTTGACCCTATCCCCATGCGGATTGGAACTTGGAAGACAGCGGGGATACAGTGCATGTTTCAAAGCGCATGATAGCGCAGCCCATTTGAGAACGGGGATATGAATACAGCCATTCTACTCTTATAGTGAGATCATCTCATTGAGATGAACGTAGTGATAATGATCATGACTCCATTTGGGGTATGTTCTAATCGTCCTGTCTCAATCAAACAACGCCCTTCCAATTGAGCAGCACTGCAGTTGCAGTTGTGGTCTTCAACATATGACGACTCATCTGCATTGGCCCATGCTGAAGCTGCCATAGTGAGTGCATTGCCAAATTCATGAGAATAATAATATTACTAAACATGAGAATGAGACCATATATACATATGCAACATCTTGACACCTACAAGACTGTCGGGCAAATGCGTGTTTTGCTGGAGGGGAGGCACAGCTGGTGTAGCAGCGGTACCCAGACACACGCAATATCTGTATTATAATTTGCCTTGGGAGATCAAAGATGGATGAACCAGCCCTAGTGACATGTGGGCAGGATGGGTTTGGCTGATCCATGTCAGACGCCCATGTCAGACGCCAGCCCATCTCAGGCAAAGAGCTGGTTTGGTGCGTTGTGAGATGGATCAACCAGCCCAAGTGATACGTGGGCAGCGTGAGGCACCATCTCTTGCATGCCGCCACACGCAGCACGCAGCAACGCAGGTGGGCGCTGCTGGGACACAGTGCAACACGGCATCATCACAGTGCACGCTTATCAACCTCGTCCACCCTGCTGGCCTCATTGCACCTGCTGCACCACTAGCTTGAGCCTCTTCCCACCATAGCGCTCGCCCTCCCATTGTTCACCCATCCTTGCACTCATCGATCGCAGCCACATGCCTGCTTGTCGCCCCCCACCTCACCACTGCGTCCCCACGCCCTCCTGCCACGAGAGCCTCACCCCCCCCCCCCTCCCCGCTCCCAGCAGCCCCACTTGCTCCAGAATCCACCTGTCCAAATCCGCCTGCTGCTGCCCCTCCCATGCCCCTGCCCTCACACACACGGAGGGAGCAGCAGCGGCAAGAGGAGGAGCAGGTGGAGAAGGGGGAGGAAGGGGAGCAACAGGAGGCGAGGCAGGTGGAGCCGAAGGAAGAGGATCCGCAGTGGTGCTGTGGGAGATTGGGAAAGGGGCCGTCATAGCAGGCAGCTCGTTGCCAGGAGAAAGGGGGAAGTGAGGAAGGAGAGGCAGAGGTGGTAGAGGAGACAGGGGAGGGAGGGGAGGCAGGGTCTCCAGAGGGATAGTTAGTGGAGAGGGGGGAGATGGAGTGACCGGGACGTAGTGCTGGGCGGTACACCGGGGGGACAGTGCGGGCGGCAAGCTGGGCGGCAGTGGCAGCATTCGCAGGGAGAGGTGGAGGGGGCAGGTTGGGAGGGCAAGAGAGAGGGCAGCTGCTGCTGCGCGCAGCAGGTCAGGCGGCGGGGGATGCAAGGCGGAGGTGACTGCCGCGGTGGCCAAGGGTGGGCTCGGTGCATCAGAGCACGAGGAAGGAGCAGAGAAGGTGCCTGTGCTTGACTCCACCATCTGCTCGTTGCAGCTTCTCACATGCGCCCGATGATTCTCCTGATGCTGCTGCTGCTGCTGCTGCTGCTGCCGCTGCTGTTGCTGCCGTTGCGTCTTCACCACGTGCCATTCTTTCTGCAGTAGCACCGCATTATCTTCAACCTCAACAGTCTTGACACGCTTGCTATCATTCCAACCTTGGAGTCCCGCGGCCTCACCATGCATATCTGGGCCCTGCAGCCGCGGGTTCACCATTGCACCCCATGATGCACCACCCTCGTGCTTCCATTTCCCCCCCAGCCATCCATCCTTCCCCCCTGCACGCCGCGCACCTGACTGCGGCAGCACATGCGGGCGGCACTGCTGTGCCGACCACCGCAAGTCACACGTCAGCAGGTGGCTCTCTGGCGCCGCGTGAGTCGACCCAATGACCCCTTGCTGCTCGCCGTATCGGGGCTTGCTTGCAACCAGGGGGGAGTGGTCACGCGCAGCGCGGGGCCAGGCGGTGGTTGCAGGCAGAAGGGGAGAGCACCGGGGGCTGAGGCTGCTGTGGGCGGAGGCAGAAGCGGAACTCCTGCTGTGGCTGCTGCGGCTGCTGCTCGTGCTCGAGAAACTTCCTGCAAGGCATGGGGGAGCGGTGAAGGTCCGTGGGCACGGGGGGCAAGGGAAGTTGGTGAGACATGCTGGGGGCGAGAGGCGAGGCCAGCCACAAGGGAGAGTGTGCCAGAAGCCAGAAGCCAATTGAAGCGACTGGAGCACATTTTGAGCAGCAGGAATCTCGCCTAGAGCGAACCGGGGAGAGCACCTTTTGAGCAGCAGGAAGCGGTTGCAGCACGCCTTGTTGTCGCGCAGCGGCAGTCGTCCGCTCGCCCTGAGCTGCCCCCACTCCGCCGTGCCGTGCGCCATCACGTGCTCCAGCAGCGCCGCGTCCTCCTGCGGGGTGACGCGGAGAGACGAGGGAGTGAGAAAGGAGGAAGTGGGAGAGATGCGGGTTGGAGGCCATGTCCTCCTGAGGGGACAAGAAAGGGGAGAGAACGAATGTGGGCGAGATAAGCGAGAAAGGGCACAGGGCGCCACGTGCTTCAAGAGCGCCGCGTCGTCCTGGGAGGGGAATGAGGACAAGAGACGAGCGAGAGGGAGGGGAGAGGAGAGAGATGAGCGCAAGGGACGACCTGCGCCATCACGTGACCCAAGCGCGCCGCGTCCTCCCGGCGAGGGGGAGAGAATATGAGAGCAGGTGGGGGAGACGAGCGAGAGGGACAAAGCGCGCCATCACGCGCTCCAGGGAACAGCGTTATGCTGACGCCATGACGCGAGGAGGCGAGAGAAAGTGACAGAGACAGAGTGAGGACGGCGGTCGCCGGTTGAGGGGCGTGGGTCAAGGTAGCAACAATACGACACGACTCGAGGAGAGGAGAAAGCACTTGCATTTGAGTAGGCACGCGACGCGCACTCACCTCGGGGGTCCATCGCGCCAAGTACTGCCGCGGCGCGCCGCAATCGCCGCTCTCCTGACGCCCGCACTGCCAGGGGCCCGCCGGATCTGCGGTTGCGGTCGTTGATTGGCGGAGTCGCGGCGGACGAGCGCCATCGACGTCGTTTGCTGCAAGGCTTTCCCCGAGGGAATCCACTGACGCGGCATACCACCCTCCGCCGTGCGACATGGGAAACATTTCAACCGCTCTACACCGAAACGCCTATCCTCCTTCAACGCGCTGGCAATTGACACAGCTTGCTAGGTTGTGTGGTCGGTTGCCAGATAATGGCGGGGTAGGGATAGCGAAATACTATCGCCGGGTTGCGCGCGGATGGGATGTCTCGTGGGCAGTGGCGGCAGGAAAGGCGGTGATGATGCACAGTCCACGCGAGCAGCGAATGCGACTATTTGGCACAGTGGACGACGCATGTCGCGATTTGATATAGTGGAAGCCCGATCGGAGCCGGGCTTGCAGCAGGTGGAGGCCGCGACGCGCGAGAGAGAGCGGGGCGAAACGGCGCAGATGCTCCGCAACGAGATGCGCGACGCGGGTCCATTGGGGAGACGTGTTTGTTTGGACGCGTCACTACCGTCTCCCCTGGACGCTGGACGATTTGTCACGATTCCGACCGAGATACAGTGCGGCGATCGCGCTGCTGCCACATCGCCCCCCTAGCGCACGATGACATGCGAGAGGAGGAGGTCGCTCTGGCACAGTGTCACCTCCGCTGTGCTGCTCGCCTGAGGGTTCAGGAACCAGGACGGCCTTGCCTGTTGGAGGCAGCATTGTACGTATCAGAGTTCGTCTTCCTCTCTGCTTGCTCGGCTGTCAGGGGCTAGTTCGGTTCGCTTATGCTCTGCTCGGCTCTGCGCTGCTGCGCACAGCAAGTGGTAGCCAGGAGTTCTCGTAAGGGGCGAGTCACCTCAAGTCACGAGTAACAGCCACTCACATCGCGCAGTGGAGCAGTGGAGGCTAGGTGGGCGCACTGCTTTGTGCATCGAGTATCCTCCTCCCCGCTCCCGCAATCCCCGTTTCGGGAATGCGAGAAATCGGGCGATGGGACTGACGCTGAAAGGCCAAATTGCCACGCGGAGTGACGTGGGCCTCCAACAACCAAGGAGAAGTCTCCCGTGACATGGCTCACGATTGATTGGCTCGGGCTTGTGCAGGGCCAGCTGGGCTGGGCATGGGAGAGGTTCGAGAAGGATGGTACTGGGGGGTCTTAGCTTCTGCAGTCAAATCAGTGGGGAATGCAATCGATTGCCTCACTGAGTTGACCGCAGAAGCTAAAACCCCATGGTACTGTGAGGCTGGAAAGTCCCCCATTTTCGGGATGAATGACAGCCACAAGATACTTGTGGTGGAGGTGAGATCCAAAACAACAACTGGAAAAAAATACAACATTCAGAAGCTGAACGTAGCACACCTGTACATTTTGCCCTTCAAAGTATGTGCATTTGCTAAAGCGTATAACATGCATTACACATTGCTTTCAAGCATCAAGTGTTCCTACATCAAAGATGGATAAAAACCTGGTATTTATTGCAATACGGTAAACAACCAATGATAAGCTAGGAGCTAATCATTACAATATCTTCCCCATAGATAAAACAAACCCATGGAATGACACAGTTAAGAGAGCACATGCGGTTCCAGCTAGAAGCTCTATTCCCTTCTATTGTGTCTATAGCACCACTTTGCCTGCCCTCCCGGCTCAAACCCACACGCTCTAGATCCTGCTCCAGCCCCTTACTCCGCCAACCATCTCCATGCCTCCACCCTCCACAATGCCCTGCAATGCTCCCCCCTCCCACAGGCACACCACCCCGGGCTGCTCGTCCCACCACCACCGCCACTCACCCTTGGCCTCTTTGCCCCCTGCCCCGACACACAGCCCCCCTCCCCTGCATCGTGCATCAACCCCCCCATTCCTCCACCCGCTCGGCCTCCCCCTTCCTCGCACATCTGGCGGTATGGCAGTGCTCCCTCGCTCAGCATCCCCACCTGCCATCAGCTCAGCAGGCCCAAGCCCCACCCCCAGCAGCCCCACCTGCTCCAGAATCCACCTGTCCAGATCCGCCTGCTGCTGCCCCTCCCATGCCCCTGCCCTCCCACACGCAGTGGGGGGAGGAGCAGCCAGAGGCGGGTGAGGATGCGGAGCGAGATGAGGGAGAGGAGCAAGATGGGCAGCCTTGTTGCAGGGGAGTGAAGCCGGGGGATGGAATGTGTGCGGGTCAGAGTCGGGAGGGAGTGGGTGGAGGGGAGGGAGGGTGTTGAGAAGACAGGGCGGCGAAGAGGATGCCACCGACAGACTAAGATGGTGCAGCTGGGGGGGAGACTGGGCGGCAAAGTGGGCGGCAGCAGCAGGCTGTGCTGGAAGAGGTGGAGGGGGCAGGTGGCGAGAGAAGGCGAGGGGGACAGATGCGGCTTGCAGCGGACTGAGAGGCAGACGATTCGAGGCAGGAAGGGCTGTGGCGGTGGCAGCAGGTGCGTCCAGCAAGGCACACCCGGAGGACGGCAGGGGAGAGGCAGTCGCCTCCACAGCGTGCTCGTTGCAGCTTCTGCCGCGCTCTGAATCATGCTGCAGCAGCTGCTGTACCTGCTGATGCTCCTCCTGCAGCGCGTGGGGCGGTTTGTGCCGCAGCGGCACATTGCCCTCAACGCCCACACTCTTGAGCCGCGCGCCTTCACGCAACCATTCACACCCCATGGCAGTGTGACACGCACGTGGGGCGGTGAGGCCGCCCTGCAGCCACGGCTCCATCATCGCATCCCACGCCGCACCATCCTCGGGGCTCCACTGCCCGCCCTGCCACCCTGCGTGCTGCACACTGGCCTGCTGCCTGGCCTGCACGTGGGGCTGAGCCGCAGAGGCCATCAGGTGCAGTGCGGTCTCAGGCGGTTGGAGGCAGTAGCGAAGCACGCCGTGGGGGGGATGCTGCTGCGGGCAGGGCCAGAGAAAGAGCTCCTGCTGCTGCGTCTGCTGCGTCTGCTGGTGCTGCTGGTGCTGCTGCTGGTGCTGCTGGTGCTGCTGGTGCTGCTGGTGCTGCTGGTGCTGCTGCTGGTGCTGCTGCTGGTGGTGCTGGTGGTGCTGGTGCTGCTGGTGCTGCTGGTCGTCGTGCTGGAGGAACTTCCTGCGAGGCACACGGGGGACGGAGGATGATGAGAGAGTCGAGCGTGCAATGAAGCACTGCCAATTCGGTGACTAGTTATGAGGCGCCTCGAATCGAGAGTCGAGAGTGCGATGAAGCAGTGACAATTCGGTGACAGTAGGGTCGGAGGAGCGGAATTCAGGTGAGTGTAATCGTGAGCGCACCAGTTGACGAGCAGAATCTCGCCTAGAGCGAAACGGCGAGAGCACCTCTTGAGCAGCAGGCATCGGTTGCAGCATACCTTTTGAGCAGCAGGAATCTCGCCTAGAGCGAAACGGGGAGAGCACCTTTTGAGCAGCAGGAAGCGGTTGCAGCACGCCTTGTTGTCGCGCAGCGGCAGTCGTCCGCTCGCCCTGAGCTGCCCCCACTCCGCCGTGCCGTGCGCCATCACGTGATCCAGCAGCGCCGCGTCCTCCTGCGGGGTGACGCGGATACACGAGGAAGAGAGAAACGAGGAATTGGACGAGACGAGCGTTACAGGCCGTGCGCGCCGTCACGTGCTCCAGCAGCGCCGCGTCCTGCCGTGGTGACACGCGGCAGCGACGAGAGAGCGAGAGATTGGGAGAAATTGAGAAGTTCCGGAAAAAAAGGGCGCCATGAGAGGAGTTCGGCGCAGGAAGGAACGGGAGCGGACGCGGGTTGGGCTCTAAAATTGGGCTTGAATCCGACCTCCGCGTGCTCACGAGACCGCCCGAATGCAGGCACGCGGAGGCACGCGAAGGGACAGCGGAGGCGGGAGGAGAGCCGGGGAAGGGCTCACCTCGGGGGTCCATCGCGCCAAGTAGTGTCTCGAGCGCGCCGCATTCGCCGCTCTCCTGCCGCCGATCGCCGGGACAGGATGCGACTCGGAGTCCGTCGATGGGTCCGCAGGTGCCCGCTGGCGGAGCTGCGGTGCGCGCGCGCGGTGGCCGCCGCCCGCTACCCCCGTAGCGGCGGAGGGGCTTTCCGCGACTGCCTCCATCGCGGCGACACCGTGCGACGTTAGCACCATGTCGCTAGCGTGCGACGTTCGCAAGTTGAAGACGCCGCGCACGAGTCCGTCGATCCGAACGAGATTGGCGCTCCAGGTGGCTGCGCGCACCAGCGCAACGACAGGCGGGCGGGGACTAACTGCGATACGCGGGCGAAGGAAGCTGAGTGAAACGGCCACCTGCTGAAATGCGAGGGCCGGAGATTGCAACTTTAGCTGCGGGTCGTGCAAGCTCTTGTGCGATATGACGTGTTCTAGCGGCAGCGGTTCCGCATAGAAATAAAAGCGCTTGCACGGAGGAGAACGAGGTCTTGGGCGCTACTACTAGGCGAGCTGGGAGGTTTGAGGTCCGAGGTGCGAGGTGCAGATAGTGAAGGCACTGGCGTTCCTCGCCGTCCCTTTATTCTCCGCATGCGCGCCTTGGCACTGCCATGTGACGGGCCTCGTGACTTGAAACCCAACGCGCATCTCATGGATCGAGGACTGCGGTGGGCCGGAGCCTAACGCCCGCAGCGTGCGAGTCTCCGAGTCTTGCACGAGCGGCTGGGCCCGTCCGGACGACGCGGTTGTCGCAGCAGCGGTCCGTAACGGAAATCGGCCGGTGGGGCCTGCACTATCACTCGCACTCGCACTCGCACTCGCACTCGCACTCGCACTCGCCCTCGCACTCGCACTCGCCCTCACGCTTGTCGTGGCAGTGGGCCACGGGCGAGCGAACGATTCTGTCGTGATGCGGAGCGACGACGTGCGATGACGTGCGAGAGACGACGCCATTTGGCTACAAGGAGCGTGCACTGCTGCAATGCTGCCGCTACCCCCCCCCCCTCCTCCCTTTTGCACAAATACTGTACAGTATGGCCCAAGGCCCTCCAATTTCCCCCCTCGCAATGCGGTCGGCACGAAACGCCGTAGCGGAGGACATGGGTGCGGGCCATGGTCCACTGCATCCTCCCGCCAGAACTCGTGGCGTACTGGAGGAGGCATGAGGGGATTCAGAAGGAACCTCCACCGTTACCAATGAGGCAATCACATGACCTGAGGGCGACTAAGAACAATAAGAGCCAATGAGAGTGAGAGGGCTTCTCTTTTCTTCCATTCCTTTCTGTCCGGTTTGGTATTTTTTCTGCCATTCCGTCCAGTTCTGTTCTGCTCTGTAACCTGCTCTCTTTCTGTTTCTGTTTCTGTTCCCATTATCGTGGTGGAAGTGACGGGGAAGGTGAGAGGTTGAGTACGTTCCAGAAAGTTATGGTGCTCTGCAGTGTGTCATCGAGGGTCGAACTTCTGCTGTGGACTGACAGCAGTGGTGGTCACTTGCGCCACCAACAAAAGGACCAGGCTCGCGAGCGAGTCGCGAATTTGTGGGGAGCATGTGCGACGCATCATTCCTTGTCACAGACCCACGTGCCCCCCGTGCATTTGGGAGATATGCGCTGTCAAGGCAAAGCTGTCACGCTGAAATGACGTGGGACTCCAACAACCGAGGAAAGTGAGTTGGTTAGAACGCAAGAATCAACTGACCCCACCTGAGCTGGAAGGACATTCTCCTGAACTCCGGGAATCAAGACCAGAACGTTCTGTCTGAAATCTTCCCTTCTTTGAACGACAGCCACAAGATTGACGACTTCGTAGGATACCCTACAAGGATTCCTCGTTATTCTCCGACGAAAGGCGGTGCCTTGTCCCTTTGGTGTTGTGGGTTTAGTAAATTCTTTCACAAAAAGTTGACTGTTTGCTTGCATAGTAAATTGATTGACTTGTATTTGTAGCCATGACATAAAAGGACGCCTGAAAATATCACGCTCCCAATGCATTTGCAACGGACCCTCCACATGTCTGAACGTTGGGTGAAACTGAATAAATCCATATTTCGTGGGCAAATGTGCAAGTAGTTAGCAGCACTAACTGGTTTCACATTCACTCACATGTGCTTCTTCAAACCCAGAGTCTCCCCAGCAGCCTATTGATTCACAGTGGCGGCCGTCCGCCCCTCTCTTTGAGCTCAATCCACCGGGAGAAATACTCAGTGGCCCTGTTGCTGTCATGCCACAAGATGGCCTGCGACATTGAAGTGGCATGGAATGAAGGGGTCAGAACAAACACTTCTGATTTCATCACAATTGACGAAGGAAAACAAGAAACCTGTGTTCTCAGTGAACACCCAATTCATAAATAAATGCTGGCTTGTTACCCGACAAAGCAAATCATCATCAGGATGTTCACGTGGATTCACACTCACCGCTGTGTAGTCACGCAATCTATGATCACCCATGTTTGACTTGGCAGCAGCCAGCGAGGCGAGGAGCGCTGGTCCATTGCGCGGCATGCCAAACTGCTGGTGGAGGATGGCGCGGCCCTGAGCGGGCGCACGCACGCGGAGGCAGAGAGAGGGGCGGTGGGTTTAGAGAGAGCGTGAAGCTCGAGCAGCAATGAGCGATAAAGGTGAGATCCGTACGGGGTCACACCAAGAGGAGAAACGAGTCGATCACATGGGGCAACGTGCGGGGGGGAGGGCCGGGACCAGCAGGATAGACAGACGGGGCACAAGGCAAGCCACGGCCCGGTGTGTGGGGAGCGGCAGAAAAGGCAAGAGAGGCAAGATAGGCAAGATAGGCACTGCAGGGGAGACAGAGCAAGAGGGGAAGCGCACCGCTGATTGACACGTGGCCCACAGCTGTTGGTCGCAGTAGAGCCGCACCGCATCTGCTACGAATGACTCTGCATCCTCCGCCCCGCACAGCCCCCCCCACTGCTGCCCTCCGCTCCACCCTCCCACTCCCCCTGCCTCCCCGTTTACCTCCTCCCCTTCCGCCTTCCCCCCCTCCCCTCCTCCCCTGCCGCCCATGCCCTCTCCGCCAATGGGCGTGGTAACCACCGGCGTGCCGTACAACCAGCTGTCGAGGATCTTGCCCTTGATTCCCGCCCCGAAGCGCAGCGGCGCCAGCAGCACTGCGAGGGGGCAGTAGAGCCCAGAGACGAGGGATGGGGAGGAGGGGTGGGTTTGCGGGGTGGACGGAGGAGAGTTGTAATGGAGGGGGGAAGGGGAGGGGAGGAAGGGGGGGAATAGCAGCAGCAGAATGCAGCAGCAGCAGAGTATGCTGCAAAAGCTGAGAATGCTGCACAGCAGAACGGGTGCTTGAAAAGCTGAGAATGCTGCACAGCAGAACGGGTGCTTGAAAAGCTGAGAATGCTGCAGTACGGATGGGTGCAATGCGGTGAAGTGTGGGGTGAGGCAAGGGAGGCAGGGTGGAAGTGGTGGCGACCTCGGTAGGAGGCGAGGACGTGGAGGGAGGGGGCATGGCCGCGAATGAGGAAGCCAGAGGAGGGGTCATTAAGGGAGGAGATTGCTGCTGTGGTGTAGGAGCCGTACACGTGGCACTCAGCCATTGGCAGCTGAGAGAAGAGGGAGGAAGGGAGGGGAGGGGGGTGGGAGGGGCACATGCAGCGTGAAAAAGCATGAGGTGGAAGACGCATGAAGGTAGGGATGATTGGATGGATGCGAGATACGAGCAGGACGAGATACGAGCAGGACGAGATACGAGCAGGACGAGATACGAGCAGGACGAGATACGAGCAGGACGAGATACGAGCAGGACGAGATACGAGCAGGACGAGATACGAGCAGGACGAGATACGAGCACACGACCCGCACAGTCAGTCAGCTCGGCCAGAGAGTGAGCATGGATTGTCGGCGCAGCCTCACCTGAGAGCGGCCTGCCTTGCCTCACCTGAGAGCGTATAGTCGGCCAGATGTGCCGTGCGAGCCCCTCACCTGCGCGCGGATGGCGGGCCAGATGTGAGTGGCGAGCCACGAGACGGCGTCCACGTTGGGCGCATGGCGGAACGTGCCCACCGTGGTGAAGTGGTGGCGGGGGGAGGAGGCGGTGGAGGAGGGATAAGTGGCGTCTGAGTGGAGAGAGGGGGAGAGGAGGGGGGAGGGGGAAGAGGGAAGGGGTCAGGGTAGCACACAAGGGATTGTTGGGCGCATGGTGGAACGGTCCGACAAGGGTGAAGTGATGGCGGTGGGGGAAGGAGGGGAGAGAGGGCCAGGAAGGGGGATGGGTGGCATCGGAGAGAAGGGGGAGGGATAGGTAGCGCACAGAAAGAGACGAGGTGGCACGGTGGGAACGAGGTGGATAGCACACGGGACGAGATGGCACTGGGAGCGCCTCCCCCCTCGGGATTCATGGGGAGAATCAGAGCAACGCAAAGCCAGCAGGTGCAGCAGTCTCGCAGAAGCAGACTCCACCTCCTCTCATCCCCACCTTCCACTGGCTCACCTGCTCTCATCCCCACCTTCCACTGGCTCACCTGCTCTCATCCCCACCTTCCACTGGCTCACCTGCTCTCATCCCCACCTTCCACTGGCTCACCTGCTCTCATCCCCACCGCCCCATGGCTCACCTGTGTCGTAGAAAAACGAGGCGAGTGCGAGCTTGTGCGGCGGGAAGGCGTAGCAGCGAGTGAGCAGCGAGAGCTCCGCCTCTGAGCACAGCTGAGGGGGGAGAGGGAGGGAGGAAGGGGGAGAAGGGGAGGGAGCATGGTGGACGCTAGTCCGCAGGGAGCAACATCATGGCGTGCTGGCCCCATGGCGTGCTGGCCGCATGGCGTGCTGGCCCCATGGCGTAACAGGATTGCAGCAGTGAGAGGGTGATGACAGGACGAAGGCACAGACCCCACTGTGCAAATATAGCGGGGGTACCTACCAGAGTGAGGTCGCATCGGTGCATGGCTGCCAATTCGCGCAGCAGCTCCCTGCTGCTTGTATCGGGTACGTGGTGTAGCGCGTCCACAATGGAGCCGCCCTCAGATACCACCCGCTGCCGGTTTGCCTGTCTGCCAGGGTAGGGGATGGGGCGAGTGAGAGGCATGTGATGCGAAAGGTATGGGATGGGGACGTGGCATTGTGCCCTGCGATACCATTCTATGCTACTCCATGCCATGCCGTGCCATGCCATGCCATGCCGTGCCGTGCAGTACACTGCCGTGCCGTGCCGTGCATTACGGTGCCTTGCCATGCCGTGCGGTACCATGCCATGCCGTGCCATGCCATGCCATGCCGTGCCATGCCGTGCCATGCCATGCCATGCCGTGCCATGCCATGCCATGCCGTGCCGTGCCATGCCATGCCATGCCGTGCCATGCCATGCCATGCCATGCCGTGCCATGCCATGCCGTGCCATGCCATGCCATGCCGTGCCATGCCATGCCATGCCATGCCGTGCCATGCCACGCCACGCCATGCCGTGCTGTGACACAACGGGATTTCGAAACCCTGACACTCCGCCCTCAGTGCGTGCAGGCCTCAATACACCGCCCTCAGTGCGTGCAGGTCTCAATACACCGCCCTCAGTGCGTGCAGGTCTCAATACACCGCCCTCAGTGCGTGCAGGTCTCAATACACCGCCCTCAGTGCGTGCAGGTCTCAATACACCGCCCTCAGTGCGTGCAGGTCTCAATACACCGCCCTCAGTGCGTGCAGGTCTCAATACACCGCCCTCAGTGCGTGCAGGTCTCAATACACCGCCCTCAGTGCGTGCAGGTCTCAATACACCGCCCTCAGTGCGTGCAGGTCTCAATACACCGCCCTCAGTGCGTGCAGGTCTCAATACACCGCCCTCAGTGCGTGCAGGTCTCAATACACCGCCCTCAGTGCGTGCAGGTCTCAATACACCGCCCTCAGTGCGTGCAGGTCTCAATACACCGCCCTCAGTGCGTGCAGGTCTCAATACACCGCCCTCAGTGCGTGCAGGTCTCAATACACCGCCCTCAGTGCGTGCAGGTCTCAATACACCGCCCTCAGTGCGTGCAGGTCTCAATACACCGCCCTCAGTGCGTGCAGGTCTCAATACACCGCCCTCAGTGCGTGCAGGTCTCAATACACCGCCCTCAGTGCGTGCAGGTCTCAATACACCGCCCTCAGTGCGTGCAGGTCTCAATACACCGCCCTCAGTGCGTGCAGGTCTCAATACACCGCCCTCAGGCGTGCCTCAAGTGCGTGCAGGTCTCAATACACCGCCCTCAGTGCGTGCAGGTCTCAATACACCGCCCTCAGTGCGTGCAGGTCTCAATACACCGCCCTCAGTGCGTGCAGGTCTCAATACACCGCCCTCAGTGCGTGCAGGTCTCAATACACCGCCCTCAGTGCGTGCAGGTCTCAATACACCGCCCTCAGTGCGTGCAGGTCTCAATACACCGCCCTCAGTGCGTGCAGGTCTCAATACACCGCCCTCAGTGCGTGCAGGTCTCAATACACCGCCCTCAGTGCGTGCAGGTCTCAATACACCGCCCTCAGTGCGTGCAGGTCTCAATACACCGCCCTCAGTGCGTGCAGGTCTCAATACACCGCCCTCAGTGCGTGCAGGTCTCAATACACCGCCCTCAGTGCGTGCAGGTCTCAATACACCGCCCTCAGTGCGTGCAGGTCTCAATACACCGCCCTCAGTGCGTGCAGGTCTCAATACACCGCCCTCAGTGCGTGCAGGTCTCAATACACCGCCCTCAGTGCGTGCAGGTCTCAATACACCGCCCTCAGTGCGTGCAGGTCTCAATACACCGCCCTCAGTGCGTGCAGGTCTCAATACACCGCCCTCAGTGCGTGCAGGTCTCAATACACCGCCCTCAGTGCGTGCAGGTCTCAATACCACCGCCCTCAGTGCGTGCAGGTCTCAATACACCGCCCTCAGTGCGTGCAGGTCTCAATACACCGCCCTCAGTGCGTGCAGGTCTCAATACACCGCCCTCAGTGCGTGCAGGTCTCAATACACCGCCCTCAGTGCGTGCAGGTCTCAATACACCGCCCTCAGTGCATGCAGCGAAGGTCACGCAACCCACTCTCAGTGCGCCGTGCAAGCCAGAGGGAAGGCCGTGCAAGCCACAGGGAAGGCCGTGCAAGCCACAGGAAAGGCCGTGTAAGCCACAGGGAAGGCCGTGCAAGCCACAGGGAAGGCCGTGCAAGCCACAGGGAAGGCCGTGCGAGCCACAGGGAAGGCTATGCAACCCACTCTTAGAAAGTGCAGGTCCTGCGTGTCGAGCACGAGCAGGCAGTCGGGGCAGCGCTCCCTCAGGCGGAAGGAAAAGGCCTCCTCTGTCGTGAACCTGCCACAGGACGAGGGGGGGAGATGGGCCAAGGGGGGAGATGGGCCAAGGGGGAGATGGGCCAAGGTGGGAGATGGGCCAAGGGGGAAAAATTGTGGAGGGGGGAAGGAAGGGTGGGGAGGCAAGGGAGAGAAAGCTGGAGGAGAAGGAACAACAAAACAACGAAGGGGATTGCGGGGTAGAAAGCGACAGAACAGCAGCGAATGGGGGAGGGGAGAGCAAGAGGCATGGGAGGAGGTCTGGATGCGACGGTCAGAGGAGGGAGGTAGCAACAGATGCAGCGGGCCCTCTGGCTCGGCGCGTGGAGGACAGGGCCACGCCTCGCTCCGTCCCTCTTCCACCCCTCGCCTCCCATCACCCCCGCCCCTTCATCCCTCGCCATGCCAGCCGCAATGCACACCCATCCCTCCATCCATCGCCCCCATGCCCCCCCACTCTCGCCCCCCCTCCATCCCTTCTGCAGTGCTGACCTATCGAAGACTGCAATGGTGGGCTGCACGGCGTCCAGCACAGCGAGGAACTCCGCGGCCCTGCCACCACGGGGAGGGATGCCACAGGGTGCAGCAGAAGGCGCAAGAGAACCATGAGAACCTCTCTCATTGCGTGGCGAATTCCGCATCCCACCGGTCCCCACTGGGAGACGAGGGTGTGAGGGGAGCAAGGGCAGAACGGTGGCTGCCGGTGTCAGCAGCGGTGCAGTGGCAGCGAACCGAGTGGGAAGCACTGCCATGCCACCGCACACTGGGGTGAGCGATGCTCGCCAGGGAGAGCGCGGCGGCTGGAGGGTGGGGGAAGCGGTGAGGGAAGGGATGGGGGAAGGGATGGGGAAAGGGTGGGGGAAGGGGTGAGGGAAGGGGTGGGGGAAGGGGTGGGGGAAGGGGTGGGGGAAGGGATGGGGAAAGGGGTGGGGGAAGGGGTGGGGGAAGGGGTGGGGTAATGGGTGGGGGAAGAGGGGAGGATGCATGCGTTTGCTTGTTCCCAGTATCAGGGAGGCGGGGGCAGGTATAGCGGTCCAATGACACAATGCCTATTGAGGCACCTCAAGTATCACCTGCTCGGCGCACACTGGTGCGTGGCAATGCCTGCTGCTTCTGTTGAGGCACCTGAAATATCACCTGTTGGGTGCACACTGGTACGTGGCAATGCCTGCTGCTTCCAACTCCTCAGAATAGACGTTGCGCCTTGCAGGGCTGATGGGAGGCAGCGAGAGCAGAGACAGCAGAGCGCAAAGAGCAGAGAGAAGAGCGCAGAGAGCAGAGGGAGGAAAGGGAGGAGAGGGGGAAGAGGGAGGAGAGGGAGGAGAGGGAGGAGAGGGAGGAGAGGGAGGAGAGGGAGGAGAGGGAGGAGAGGGAGGAGAAGGAGGGGGAGAGGCACGGGCACGGGTTGCCAGCAAGGAGGGGGAAGAGGGCGAGGGTGGCAGGAGGGCACGAGGCAGCAGGGAAGCTGAGAATTGAGAGGAAAACCAACAAGGTGCGAGCAGTGCAGCGCAGTGAACAGAGTATGAGGAGGGTGCAAGCACGCAGGAACAGATGGAGACTGCTCGGACACGTGTGGCGACGGGCATTCATCGGTGATGGCAAACGGGATACAAACAACACACTCAGCAAGTGCTGGACAACCTCCCAACTCCTTCCTACCTTCAGGTCCTCAACCCCCGGCAAGCCTCCTTCAGCCCAACTCCATCCAACCGTCCCGCTCAATCCCATTCCGCCCCATCTCATCCCACTCTCTCCCTCTTCATCCCACCCCATCCCACCCCACCCCGCCCCACCCCGCCCCAGGCCACCCGTCCTCACCTCATAAAGTGCAGCTGGTTCCCGGGCCTCTCGCCACCGCTGCCCCCACCTCCCCCATTCGTCCCCCCCAGCACCCGCAGCAGCTGCGCCGTGCGCACCCCCGCCGCCGTGCTGCCGTGCTCCGGCCTGGCGGGATGGCGGAGGGACGAGCGGACGGCGGGAATGGCAGTGCAGGGACGAGCGGAAGGAAGGAGTGGGGGAGCGAGTCGACGGAACGGAGGAGGGGGGATTGGAGAGGGGGGGATTGGAGAGGGGGGGGATTGGAGGAGGGGGGGGGAGGGGGGTTTTGGAGAGGGAACGGGCGAGGGGAAGGGAAGGGCGACAAGGGAAAATGGAGCAGAAACATCGGGCGGAAGGAGGGGGGGGGAAGGGTAGGGATGGGGGAGGGGAGAGGAGGCAGAAGTTGGGGAGGAAAGGTGGCGGAGAGGAACGAGGAACGGCAGGAAGTGAGGACTGGCGGATCCAATGAGCATTTGAATCGTCCTACCCTACCTGGTTGCGCCGACCCTCATCCACCGCTACCTCTTCCCACGGCAGGCTCACCAGACCTTGCCTATGAAGAGAATTGATTCGGCCTGCAGCAGCGGCGACTGCGACAACGACTCTCGCGATCCCTCGTCACCCGCGACGCTCCACGGACTGTCGCCCGTCGCCTCGACTTCTGATAGATTCCACTCGGCGGAACCCGAGGCGAGGCTGCTGCGAGTCGCTACGCCGCGTCTGACGTGTTTTGTCGGAATGTTGCTGCCGTCAGCATTGCCATTTCTCCTAGAATCGGGATAGCGAGTTATGCCATAACGGACTGCACCGGCTATCTTGATTTCGCACAGAGAAAAGGCTGCATTGGTGAAGAGCGAGTGGGATCTCACGCCGTGGAATGCGGCGACGCGGAGCACGAACGCCATGGATCAGGGAGGGAGGCAAGTCGTGGTACAGAAACGCGGCTGCGGTGTCGTTTCCCTCCTGCGACAGAATCGATGGCGGCGATCGCAGATTGGAGGAATTGCGGCGGCGAATGGGTGACGTCAGTTATGAGTCGCGTTGTGTCGTGCGGTCTCGAGATCATCGCCTCGTGCTCATCTAGGTAGTTGGCTGGCGCCCTGCTGACGAACAGCCCTCGGTTGCCCAAGGGAATTTCCAACTAGCAGTGCCAAAAAACGCGATAATCGAGATTGTACAAAGCCGTACCACATTTGAGCGATAAAACACACATGATCACAAATGTACATGTGAACTCTCCTTAGCCATTCGGCCTCATCAACAAGGCAGTAAGGCATTGGTGAATTCCAGTGCCATCTCAGGGGCTGGGCCTGAATGACCGCGATGGATTTGGGGGAGCATAAGTGAGGATGGCGGTATCGGTATCTCACAAGAAAGCATGGGTGTATCTGGGAAGCTGTAGGAAGCATCATGCATTGCGTTGCTGCCGCTAGACAAGTCCAATTCCCAAGCATCATCGGGCTTCACATTGCTGGCTCTTCCAAATTCAAGCAGATTTGACGAGGAGAGTGTTATGAAGCTAGGTTAGCTAGGAAGGTAGGTGGCTATGAAATGGCAAGAGGTTTAGGAGCTAGGAGAGAAAGTTACAAGAGAAAAGAGGGTGAGACTAGGAAGAGAGAGGCATACAAGGAGGGAGTTGTACCCGCTACAGTAGAGTTCGGTAATCTACCAAACCTACCAATTATATAACACAATATATAATTTAACACACCCCCTAGGCTTGGTAGTCACAAGCCCACCCAACACACACACCCCCTAACCCCTTACACCCCCATGCTCGAGATCAGCCGGGTATCTACCCCTCGGGCTTGGCATGGTGACATCCCCCGGCGAGAGGCAGCGCGGGCAACGGTCATGGCTGAAGGCTCTCGGCGGTGTGGCACGGCGAGGCGACGACCGGGTAGAAGACAGCAGCTGCGGCAGGAGGAAGAGGAGATGCAGGGGAAGGGGGGGCGGGGGGGGGGGGGGGGGGGGGGCGAATCTTCAGCGACACGCCATGGGTGGCGCGGCGCTTACTGGCGGGAGAGGGCGAATCTTCAGCGAGGCACCATAGCTGGCGCGACGCTTACTGGCGTGAGAGGGCGAATCTTCAGCATGACACCATGGCTGGCGCGACGCTTACTGGTGTGAGGGCGTTACGACTGGCGCCTAGGACAGGGCGCTGGCCGCAGCTGTCCGTGCACTGGCGTGGTGAAGCCGCCGCGGCAGCACGACGGCACGGCGGCACAGCGGCGCGGCGGCATGGCGACCCAGCGGCACGGCGGCGCGGCGGCACCGTGGCACGGCGGCACCGTGGCACGGCGGCACCGTGGCACGGCGGCATGGCGGGACGGCGGCACTGAGGCACTGAGGCACGGCGACATGACGGGGCCAGCGTGGCGTGACGGGGCCAGCGCGGAGTGACGGGGCCAGCGCGACGTGACGGGGCCAGCGCGGAGGGACGGGGCCGGCGCGGAGTGGTGGGGCCGGCGTGTTCTAGCGGGGCCGGCGTGGCGAGACGGGGCTGGGGCAGAGTGACGGGCCGCGTGACCGGGGGGGGGGGGGGGGGGGGGGGGGAGGGCGAGTACGCTGCGGAAGCGTGAGGAGAAGGCCAGAGCGAAAGGGGCCTGCTCTGAAACCATGTTATGAAGCAAGGTTAGCTAGGAAGGTAGGTGGCCATGAAATGGTGAGAGGTTTAGGAGCTAGGAGAGAAAGTTATAAGAGAAAAGAGGGTGAGACTAGGCAGAGAGAGGCATACAAGGAGGGATTTGTACCCTCTACAATAGAGTTCGGTAACCTACCAAGCTTACCAGTTATATAACACAATATATAATTTAACAAAGAGCACATCCGGGTTGATGCCATGATCAGCCGCGGCATCCCAGGATGCCCCATGTCATCCCAAGCAGGGCCTGAGTTAGGATTTTGGACATCCTGTCTACTCAGGGCTAGGCCTTAAAAACACGTGTACTGGTCAGGGTTGGACGTCAATGCTCATATTGTTTTTGCCAGGGTTGACATCTAGCACTTAACTGCAGCCTCAGGGTAATCTTCACACAGCCCAAAATATTGTTTTAAGTATACTAATAACAGCATAGCACCAGAGACAATCAATATTCACAACATAGCAGCGTACATGTGGCTCGACTCAGAAGTTTCCACTATCCTCATCATCACTAGAACTAAACCTGCTGCTGGAGCAGCTATTCTCATCGTCCGCTCGTGCCTCATCATCATGCTCCTCTTCGGACAACACCACCACCTTCTCTTTGCCCGTGGCAGACTTCCTCGCACGCACTTCGCTCTGGTGGGCCCTCCTTGGCCGTCTCTTCTTCATGCCGCGCCACAACTCAATGACCCTATCCCAGTTCATGTCATACTCCAGCAAACTCATGCACATCAGATCCTCCAGCTTCCCGTTGCACAGACTCGTCCGGTTCCAGCTCTTAATCACATTTTGTCGCAAGAATCCCCTCTCGCACTCGACAGTGCTCAGAGGAAGCACGGCCACAGCCACCCACAGGCGCACAAGATTCGGATAGCTGCGCGGCCAGCCGTTGGTCTCCAGATGGCTGCAAGTCCGGCATGGAATGGCTGCTCCTCTTTTGGCACGAGGGTGCTGAGTTCCTTCCGTGCCAGCCGCTTATCGACTCCTGCCAGACACATACAGGAACACTCGTAAATCAGTACGGGAATGTGGAGGCATCAGGAACCACAGCAATGTACTACAATATTTCCGCACGTTGGGCATATAATATACATTAGCATGGATCACCTTACATGGCAAAAATTCAATGCGGTCGCTGGCGTGGAAGAGCTCGACCACGCTGTCTAAGTGCTCGGCGCACTCCTCGTCCCTCGCCTTCGTGTTCCGCGGCCATGTTCGGGGCATCCATAGCTTTGACCCATTGAGTCGCTCAAGGTCGCCGAGCCGCAGCTGCACGTTGTAGATAAGCTCAGTCGCATAGGAGCGATAGGTAAGCATGCAGGAAGCTTTGTCGCCGCGGGCAGTCGTGTAGTTTGGCAGCGGCTCCTCGTGAAGCTCGAATTGATGCACTCGTTCCACTCCGTCTGCATCAACGCCCTGCACGATCACATCTCGGCTGCTGGCGTGGCGCTCCAGAAACTTGGACAGACGATCGCTGCTCGTGCCGAAGTTAGGCCCGTAGTTGACGTAGCGTGAATGAATGAAGACGATCGTTCGCCGTATTTGCGACTGCACGCCCGTCAGGTCGATCTGTAGGAGGGTGTCGTGGGATGAAAGAACAACAAGAGGCAGTAAGTATTTTTTAAAAATTGATGGCAGTATGTTTTCTTTCTGACTTGGAGGAAAGTAGCAAACACAATCATGTGTTTGCCACGAACTCTGTCGGTACTCTCGTCACAACTCAAGCCAATGAACGGGCTTGACTACAAGTACTCCTGTTGACCAGCTCGTAGGTAGATGGCTGTCGACTTGGTTAACTCCTGAAAGCCATACCTGCGCAAACCATGCAGGTAGTTTAGAACATGCGCGAGATGAACACATGTTCAATAATAAACAAGTAAAACACCCAAGGAATTAAGTTGTGAAGTAAGACCCATAGCCTCGTTTGGGGAAACCAGGAGTACGTCGCTTCGAGAGGTGCCGCAAGAGTTGCACCCACATCTCGATGGGCGCGTCGGACTGGCAGATGAAAAGCAGAGTCTCCAGCAGTGCAGTAATATGCTCGTGCTAGAAAGTATGTGGTTTCAGCAAGTCCTCCATGCGCAGCTGCCCCTCAGCGATCGCAGTGGCGGTGGCTTGTCTCCGCATCGATCTCTTGTGCTTCCGCGTGGGCTGGTGGTTCTGCATCGCCTGCGTCTGGACGTCGGTCACACCTTCTCCGCCCTTGCCGTAGTTTGTTCCGGCCCCGCCATGTTCCATGCAAATCTTACACTTCAAAGCCGGGAATCCTGCACGTGTCTGATTAAGCACAAGCCAAGGAAAGTCAGTAATCCACCGCTTCTTAAATTGCCAGAGAGCCTCTTGGTACTTTCGTTCGGCCACGTCTTCAAGTTCGGTTCCCAATGACAAAGTCGGAGCCGCAGATGGTCCTGAAACAACGGGAGGGTCGACATGCAGAGTCGGAGCCGGAGTGTTTCGCGACCGCCCGAAACTTAGAGTTGCCTGTCGATAGCGTGAGGGCTCGAGCTTCTTCAACGGCGGTCCAATATAGGTCGACCCTTGATTCGGAGAAGTGCGGGGCGTAGTGCTTCGTTGAGGTGGTGTAGCTACAGCAGGGCGGGATGCCTCCTCTACTACTTCTACGGTGTGCGTTCGAGGGGGAGGTGTCGATGCGGGAGTATTTCTTCGCAGTAAGTCTAATCCCGTCATGGCACCAGGGTGGGATGCTGTAGAAGGATCGTTGGGAGCCTCCTCCTTGTCGTCAGTTCCTGATGCCAGCATAGTGCCCCTGACGGGGGGGCGGTTCACAGAAGAGAAACAAACCAACGAGCACAAGTTTTGTCGTCTATAACAGAAGATGGAATGTTTGGATGATTCAAGTTCAACCAAGGCATGAAAGGGAGCTGTGGGGAGGAAGGACCATCGGCGATGGCTGTTCTGTCGAGACGCGGGAATTTGGTCCTCCCCACATGGAGTGGTTGGCCGTCCAAACATCCCTGCATGCAATGCTGCTTCAGCGAGTGGACAGCAGCACTCAACACCTTATGAGGCCATGTTTCTCGTGGTGTGCTGGCTGCTATACTTAGCCGCTATTGGCCAGAATCTCGAGATTTGCAGTGCACGCGGCAAACTGGTCATTTCGCGGCAGCAATCTACAGGCAAAATGTGCGTTGGCACGAAATTTATGGAACTATGGGCAGTAAACAGGGGGTACACCCGTAGCCCCCCCCTGAAGCCAGATTCGAGGTATCAGGGTTATCATCGAATTCATACTGAGCACTCAGGGCTGGTACACGAACACTATACTGAGTTGTCAGGGTTGCCATATGATAACCATACTGAATTTACAGGGTCAGAAATTCCTTTAATCAGATTTTTCAGGTCTGGCACCTCATACTCATCTTGAAAATCAGGAATT